GCGGGCGGCGGGCCCCCGGAGCCCGAGCTGTCACCGCTGCGCACTGAATCGCGGTCGTTGCCGCTGCTGCTGTGGTCCGAGCCGGTGGCCGCGTGCAGCTCGAGCGAGGCGCGCAGGCTCCAGATGTCGTTGTAGATGGTCTGCGCCTGCTCCGGCCCGGCCTCCCGCTCGGCGTCCGAATCTTGGTGCTGCTGCTGCTGCTGCTGCTCAGGCCCCATGCTGCCGCGCTCTGGGGGGGACTCGGGGCTGCCTCCTCCCGCGGTGCCCTGCTCCTCGGCGGCCTCTAGCCTGCAAGCCAGGCCGCTGCGTCAGAAGTGCCTGCCTGTGCTCGGGCCCCTTCACCCCCTCCCGGCCATCCCACCTCTGGGTAAGGGAGGGTAGGCACGGGTGGGGACCTTCAGCACTCGTCCAGGCCCTGCAGGAAATGAATTTTTTTTTAATGCTGCTGTCATTTTTGTGTGGGACGTTGTTTGGATTAATCCTGAGCCCTGGTGCCTGCCCTTGCGCTTCCACCAGAGATTCTCATAAGGGGCTTGCCGAGCACAAAGAGAAGGGCTGCGGGTGGCCGGCCCCTCCCCCAGAAAGAACACCTCGAAAGAGTTAACTCATAATCACGTTTTCAACATTTTAGTGCGTGTGGGGGCTGGACCAGGGCGAGTAGCTGTGCCCCTAACTCTGGGCAAAGCCACGCACCCACCCACCCCAATCCCAGATCCATCAGGAACCAGGAGGAAGAGAGACAAAAGGATGGGGTAGTCATGCTGCTGCAGAACATTCTGGAGCTCACTGTGCTTCATCCTCCTGTGACTCTGATAAGTGACTGTAACCAGTGGGGCTCATAGAGCATGGCTGCCTGGACCCAGGTCGCCCATGCCCTCCCCGTATGCTCCAGAGGCCAGAGTGAGGCCAGAGGCCCTCGCAGGTGACTGGGCAGCCTCAGTGGCTGCAGCTTTGGTTCCACACTGAGACCAGGAGGTTCTGCCTGGCAACCAGGTAGAGGTGGGTGTGGGGAGGGGTACCTGGCCTCCCACCCAGAGCTGGAATCACTCAAGAGAAGGAAGCCTGCTGCACTCCTGGATTTCACCCCTGTCCACTGCTCGGGATACTGAGGCGGGGTGACGCTGGCAGGGCACATACAAGAGTCTCTGAGAAAGGCCTGTCCAGCGCTAAAAAGACAGGCCGGTGGGTGAGGGTCCAGCGCCACAGCGGAGCCCTTCAGTGCTCAGCTGGGCACACTCCCATGGCAGACCTGCCTAGGGGGGTGTTCTGTCTTGGGGTCCCCCCAAGCCCTCCACCCTTACCAGGTCTCTCCCTGCTTCCCTCCTCTGGTCTGCGGTGGACAGGTAGCCCCGGCGAGTCTGCCTCGGGGAGGGGCTGTGGAGCAGAAGGGTGCGCCTGCACGTCCACAGGGCGGCCTGGGGGAGACGGGGATGGGCAGGGGCCCCCAGGTCCGTCCCTAGCGCCTCTATCTACTGAAAAATACCTGCCGAGAGCGGGGGGCGGGCTGGTGGGGCTGGCCAGGAAGGGGCTGGGGGGCGGGAAGGCCACAGCGTCGCCGGCTCGGGCGATGTATTGGATGAAGTCCGCGTGGGGAACATCCTCCTCCTCCTGCTCCATGCTCTCGCTGGCTGCCCGCTGCCGCTGGAAGTGGTGTCGCTTGGGCGAGCCTGCACATAGGAGAGCACCATCAGCCCGCTCGTGGCCCTCAGCTCCTCTCCCACCTGGGCACACCCTGGGCCAGGTGAGTGTTGACATGGCTCCCCGTGGTGAGTGCACCCTGATGGTTGTTGCTGGCATTAGGTGCCGACGAGTCGATTCCAACTCACAGCAGCTGTGTGTGACAGTAGAACTATCCCACAGAGTATTCTAGGTTGTGATCTTTACGGGAGCAGATCACCAGGTCTTTCTCCCGAAGAGCCACTGGATGGGTTCAAATCACCAAACTCAGTTAGCAGCCAAGTGGTTGACTGGCACCACCTGGGCTCCTTACACCTGGTTACAGGTGAGGAAACCGATACAGAGGGCAGAGGAGCTGGGCGTGAGTAGGGGAGCCGCGGGAGTGAGTGGTGCCGAGAGAGTCCCTGGTCAGAGGGGCACGGCCACAGCAGGATGCTGGGGATCCAGCGGTGGCACAGCTGGCGAAAAGTGCAGCAGCCGGAAGGAGTGGGAGTCAGAGGCAGGCTGGCGGTGGCCGTGGGGGGAGTGTGGGGTTGCCCAGCCCCGCCCATGGGCCCCTGGCCAGGGGCCAGACCCTCCTACTCAGGAAGACCTCAGAGAAGTTTCCGTAGGAAGGCCTCAGGGGTGGGGAGGACAGCCTCCCAGCAAACAGGTTCTGGGTTCTTCTGCAGCTGCGCTGGACTATAATCGCACCCCGGAATCACGGGCTCCATCTGAGAAACCCGAGTCTCAGCTCTGAGCAGGACAGCAGTACAACCAGCCCACAGCCCACACCCCCCTGGGCTGGGAGCTGCCCAAGGCAAGGGTGGGGAGAAGGTCCCTCCCGCCTTGCATGGCTGGAACCCCGCTGCCCACTGACCCCAACAAGGCTGTGCCCACTTCCCCACCCCAACAGCTTCCAGCCCCAGACCATTCTACCCGTCTCTCTGCACACCTTGTCCCCTCCCCTGAGCTTTGCCTCACTTGTTCTGGTGCTGAGACTGAATCAGAGCCTGCCAGCTCCTCCTCTCCCAGGCAGCGGGAGCCCCAGTGGCCTGGCCCGACACTCCATGCTGTTTCACCCACTGAGCGCCCTACCCTGTTGGAGAACTGTTGGGCTGTGTCATCTCCTCCAGGGGCTGGTGCACTAAGGCCCTTAGGCCAAACAACCCCACTGTTCGTTTTTATAAATAAAGTTTTATCAGCACACAGCTAGGACTGCTCATTTACACATCATCTACGGCCGCTCCGGAAGTAAGAGCAGAGTAGTTGACAGAGGCCGTCTACCACGAGACTAAAAATATCACCATCTGGTCCTATGAAAATGTCCGCGACCCTGCTCCAGTCCAGCCTTCCTTGCAGCCAGGGAAACCCACAGCCCAGACAAGCGAAGGGACTTGGCGGGGGTTGCCTGGCAACACTCCAGCCAGCTGGGAAGGGAGGTGTGGGAGGGGGCTCAGGTCCCTGGAAAACCTGATGGCTTAGGATGGGGGTCCCACATGTGGGCACAGGCTGAGCTGTGATCAGGGAGGGGTCTGGATCTACGCCGGCCCCACCCATTGAGGTCCACCGTGGCGCACAGCCTCGGATGCCTGGGCCCACAGGACACCCCCACATAGCAACCTCAGTGTGTGGGAACTGGCTCAGGCATCCTCTCTGTTCTCTGTCACTCTTGAGCCCCCCCAGAAGTGGCTGCAGCCCCCCTGGTCCCCCTGCAGCCCCCCGCGGCCCCCCGGTGCCCCTGCGGCCCTCCCTGCACCCCCCATGGCCCCCTGGCCCAGGCCCACCTCTCGTGTCCAGGCTGCATGCCCGCTGACTGGCCTCCAGCTTCCATTTCTTGATCTTGAAATAGGGGCTGGCCCCATCCAGGCTGGCATGGCGCCGCAGGCGAGTGAGGAACTGCAGGACGGAGCCTGCCCCAGAGCTGGCGCCCGCCTCCCCGGGCCCTGCCGTGGCCCCCGGCCCCCCAGCCTTGGCGCTCCGGGCACCTGCATCCAGCTGGGAGGGAGACAGGGTGGGCCGTGAGCTCCAGCAGCAGACAGCCCCCAGCCTTGGCGTCCACACGTGTCCCGACACTCCCTAGCCACCTCTCAGACCAGGGCACTGAGGCCTGCACGCACAGGTGCTGCGGGGCTGGGGGCTCGGGCAGACCTGGCTAGCTCTCATCCCTCCAGCCGCCCTCCCCAGCTCTGCCTCTCTGGGAAGGACCCGGCGTGGGAGTCTGGGGGACCGACGGGCCCCAGGGCGGTGTCTAGGAGCTCACCCCACAGCAAGGGTTGGGATGGAGGAAGCAAGGGTGGGCCCCCACACCTCCCACAGCCCTGGCCACACCCTTGCAGGTGCCTGGACCCTCAAATAAGGTAGAGGAGCTGGGATTGCTTCAAGAGTCTGTGAGAACACGTGTGGCTGCACACACCCCCTCCCATGTGTGCATGGCTAAGGCAGGGCCAGGAGGACCATGGGGGGTGTAGGCCACAGGCTGACTTTGTCCCATGCAGGGGCGGGGGGGGTTGGAACTCCCACTAAGCCTCCCACCCCCACTCTCCAAATGCGGGAAATACATGAGATGCGCCGACCCCTTACCGAGGTGCCCTCCCCCGAGTCGCTCGATGCCGAGGGGCTGATCTCAACAAAGTCAGCAGCGCCGGCGGCAGAGTTGTACGGGTCACCTGGCAGGGCGGAGCTGGGGCCCACAGAGCGGCCGGTGAGGGCCTTCCCCGGGGACTGTGGGACAGAGCCGTAGGGGAGCAGTGACAGGTCAAAGGGCACGGGACGCTGGCCGTCCCGGGCCTGACCCCCACCCCCCAACGAGGGGTGAAGGTGCTATACCCGGAGGTCGGGACCTGGGCCGCCTGGCCCCCGTTGGCCGCCCCGGGGTGCGCTCACCTGGAAGATGGCGAGGCTGGCCTTGGGGGCGGCAGCTGGGTGGGTCATGGCAGCCGCGCTGGCCTCGCCCGAGTCGCACTCATGGATGGTGACAATCTTGAGTGGAGGCAGGTGCAGATGGGTGAGGCGGGCGTTCTTCAGGTGGTGGAAATCGCCCTCCGTCAGGGTGTACCTTCACAGGTGTGACCAGCGTCCCGTCAGTGTACCACCCAGCACCCACCATGCCCTGCCCACCCCGCAGGGCCTGGGGAGAGCAGTCGGGGCAGCTCGGGCCGGGTGCGAGCACTCCTCCCGTGGGCTCCACCACCACACAGTCACTCGCCCTCCGGGGACCCACGAGCGCCCTGCGCTGCACCCCCTTACCGGCGGCCCTTGTCCTGTGCCTTCCGGCTCTGCTCAAACAGGGCTGCCTCGTTGAAGGAGACCCGGCGGCCCGTGGCGCTGGTGGACAGGAAACGCTCAGTCTCGGCATCCTGGCCCTCGGGGTCCTCGCCCCGGGAGTCGGGGTCTGTGGAAGAGAGCCAGAAGAAGGGTGGGCCCCGGGTGGGCCGCGCCTGGTCACGGGCAGGCGGGCAGCTGGGCAGGCGGGCGGGCGGGGACGGATGGACAGGGTGGGCGGGGTGGCGGCACTCGCTCATCCGCTCACACACTCACACGCTCAGCACGCGCCTGTGCGCACCTACGCGGTGGGCTTTAAGGAAACAGAGATGAGTCGGGATCGAGTCGCGCCCAGTCTGGTGGGGGAGACAGACAGACACAGCCGGTCAGGTGGCTCGGGGTGGGCAGTGACGGTGGGCAGGGTGGGCCTGGGGGCCAGGGGCCAGGGCCGGCTAGGCACCTCACCTTGGGCTAGGTGGGTGCCGTTGTCCAGGTAGGTGGTAGTGGTCTTCTCTGCTTCCTCCATGGCTCTGTGGAGGGGTGGAAGGGTGCTGTGGGACATAGAAGGCTTGGACCACATCCTGCGGCCCACCCTGTCCCCGCAGCCCAGCATGTCACCGCACATCTTCAGGAGTCCACCCACGTGGGCCGGAACCACACGAGCTGTTCATGTACCACACCCGGAAGTCCTGCCCAGATGCACCGTGCCCCCCACTCAGAGGCAGGCCTGTGGCCAGCAGGGACTGTCTCTCGCCTCGCCTGGCTTGTGCATGTACACACACATGCACACAAGTACACACCTGTGCACATACAAGCAGACGTGCACGCACCTGGATGCACACACACACACTTCTGTGCACATACTCCTGTGCACACGTGTATACCCGTAGCAACTGTGCACACATACGCACATACCTGTACACTCACAGTTGCACACACATTGACACACACCTGTGCACACACCTGTGTATCCAGACTATACACGTGCACATTTGTACACTCATACCTCACCTATACACACCTGTGCACACACCCACGCACACTTGCACACGTTCACACACCTGTGCACACTTGTGTGCCCAGACCACACCCATGCACAAACACACCTGTGCACTCATACCTCACCTGTGCACATCTATACACACCTGTGCACGCACCCATGCACACTTGCACACACATTCACGCATATTCACACTTGTGCATCCCCATGCACACCCAGCAGGCTGGCATGTGAGTGTGTACGCCTGCCCCTTCCCTGTGCTGGTTTCCCTTGCTAGCCCCTTCCCCTCTCTGCCCCTCCCCCTCACCTGTGCACGCGCCGGTGCACCTCCCAGCAGCGCTTGCACAGCAGCAGCACGCCCGACAGCACCACCAGCGTGCCACCGACGAACAGCGACATGACCGCCACCAGCAGCACGTAGTTGTCCAGGATGCCCTCGGGCTCAGCCTGCAGGGGACTTGGTCAGGATCTCTGCTCTGGGTTCTCAACTCCCCCCTGTCGTCCCCCTCACTCACCGTGGGGCGGCCCGTGGCGTTGTCCCACGACGTCGTCAGCGCCATGGTGGTGGCGGCAGCGGCTGTGTCCATGGTGGCCGTGGGCTGCATCGTGGGACCCGGAAGAGGGGCCTGGGGGGGTGGGGCAGGGCCTTCTCAGTGCCCGCGTCCCCTCAGTCCCAACCCACAGGAGCTGCTGAAAATAAGCCTCCCTCTGCCCTCCGTCGGCAGGAGCCCACACACGCAGGGTGGTGACTCATGAAGGGGGGGCCTGCAGCAGCCCCCCCCCACACACTGCCCGGAGCGGGCCGGCGGGCCGCCAGCAGGGCTTCTGTCTGCACTTCCATTTCCCCATCTTCGGGGAGGGGCAGCGGGTGCACCACCACCAGCCTCCCAGCCGCTGGGGCTGGGCCAGGCAGGGGGCAGAACCCACCCCGAGGGATGAGGAAACTGAGGCCAGGCCGCTGGCTCAGGCGGGACCCCAGGTCCCCATGCCCTGTCCACCCCATCAGGGGAGGGGCCGCCCCCGCCCTAAGCAGGAACCCGGGTTTCACAAGTGGGGGAGGCAGCGCTTCGGGGGTCCGCCCATGGCGGAGAGGCAGGGTCACGACTGGGGCTCTGAGGGTCCCCCTCTGCCGCGCGCCGGTGGGAGTGGAGAGGACAGGGCGTGCGCATCTGCTCCCGCCTTAAGAATCCGGTTCCCATGGCGACGGCGCAGGCCGAGGGGGGGGCGGGAGGGTTGCCAGGGAGCAAGGGAGGGAGCGGCGGGGGGAGGCCCTGCAGGGGCGGCTGCGGAGCCGGCGGGCGGACAAGATGGCTGCGGCCGCCTCCCGCGAGGCCCACCCCGGCCTCCGGGCTGCCTCGCGCTGGGGGGAAACTGAGGCCCATGGGGCGGCTCATCGCGCGCCAGACTGCGAGAAGGGGCTGCTTGGACACTGCCCTGCCCCCCACGCCCGGCCCGGCCCAGCGAGGAGCCGGCGGCTGCGCCCTGAAACCTCCAGAATGACCAGCCGTCCCGAGTTGGTGTGGGACCGCAGGGTCCTTTCCCAAAGTCTGGGAACCGGCCCTTTCGGGCTTTAACTCCCACTTGACAACGGGGGAAACTGAGGCTGGGAGAAGGGGAGGGTCCTGGCGCTCGCTCCTGACCGAGGCCGGCCGGGGCTCCCCGCACCCCGGGGAGGGGGTGCCGGCGTAGATGTAGGTCGGGAAATGAGTTCAAGCTGGGGCGTGGCGGGGGGAGCGGTGGTTGCAGAGGCGCAGGCATGGCGACAGGAGGATGGTAAGAGACTGAGAGAGAGGGGCGCTTGAGGGGGAGGCACGAATTCGGGGGAGGTCCCCACAGGGCGGCCCCTGGGCCCGGGCGGCCTTGGCTCCCGTGAGCTCGCTTCCCTCCCACCCTGCGCCCCGGGGCATCCGGCCTGGGGGCGGGGCGGCCGCGAGCGGGGACGACGGGAGCAGGGGGATCGAGCGGCCGAGACCTTGGTTCCAGGCGCATTTCCCCTGGACTCCCCGAGAACCGGAGACATCATCGCTCGCCCATCTCACGGGGGAAACTGAGGCCAGGCAGGGCGTGGGCGAGGGTCCCTCTCGAGTGGCCGAAGGGGCGGGGCATGGAGCCCCGCGGACTGGGGACAGGACCCCCCGGCTCCCGGTCCCCCGCCCGGCCGCGCCTACCTCAGCGCCTGGGCGCGCGGCCCATGGGCGGCGGCGGCGGCTCCCGGCTCGCTCGTCCCAGCAGCGCGG